CGCCATTAATGAGTTTAATTCGAACTGTTCACACTCATTGCTGAAATCTGCTTGAGCACTATAATCGTCGGCCTCACTCTTCACCAAATTTAGACACTGATATCGAATACTAAACAATAAGATGGCTCATCAAATACCTTTAAAAGTTGGGTTACCCTTTCTTCGAAACTGAGATCCCGAGGTAATTTTGGCGATATGTAGTCAACTTCATATGTATATTCATTGCTTTCCAACTTGCACGTCAACAGTCGGGCGTTTCACGCGTCATATTGTTTGCAGAGCTGTATTAATGTATCTTTCCAACTCTTGAATCACGTGGTGTAGGTACTTCAGCTCTTAGGGTTATAACAATTCTAAGAATGCCGCTGGCAAATGCACCATAAGCTGTGGTTGACATGGCATGTGAGCCTAAGCACTAAGTGTTAGGCTGTTGTATAAGTTCTTAAAAGAAGCAGTTTTCAATCTTTATCTTCGTAATTTGTATTTCCAGTTTCTTATGCTTGATTACTTCTAGTTATCAGTATCATTAATTTTATCTCATTGTTTACTATTCTAGTGACTTAATGTCGATAGTCCAGTGTAAAGTTTGGCAAATTAGACCATAGTGCAACTACTTTGTATCTGTTCATCTTGTTTTCCCAGTGTTTTTCTGTTTTTTTTCTCATTTGATCTATACGTGCTTTTATATTGCATAATGGGACAAACCCATTTACATTGTGATGCTTCATGTTTTTCTACTTATCTATCAAAGTTCGCTTTTACAATATCAACTAAGTAATCGATTTCTGTCGTGTTTGGTGAACTAACTGATTCCCTGTACTACTAATACTATTGTTAAACTAATTTTGTTGGGTATATATTGTTTAACAAAATATAACTTTTCATTTAATTACAGGCTTAATGCAAAATAACAGTACCTGCTTCTCCTACTGATAAATGAGTTTGTTCTTACCAAGAGGTTCTTATGTGTTTTCGGTATCGACAGCCACCAGACTTCGAGCTGAATGGCCATATATCCAAATAAATATTACACATTCATATTCATCAACTGATAAGTCATCTGAATTTGAAGAAAATACTCCGACTCGGAAACTCTCACCTGAATTCCAGAAAGCTATTTCCCATGGCCCAAGTCTTTCTGAATTTACCAAGCTAGGCAATAACAACCAGTCAATTAAAGATTTCTTCAGTTCCCCGAGTTCAGTTACTAAATCAGAAAAACGGTAATTTAATTATAGTAATTCATGGTATATTACCTAGGTGAACCAGTCGTGTTTAGTTTGACTGTATCATGTATTTTAAATATTTTGTTGATAAAGTGACGACCTTTTCTAACAGGTCCAGACCGTTGCTGCTAACTTGACGTGGTGGCTAGGCTTGCCTAACACGATGAACTACTTGGGCTATACTTATTGAAATAATCGTTCCTCAGGATCCTACAATGCCAGACAGGTCGTTTGAAGAGCAATAAGACTAAAAACAGCAAACCTAAGGTTCGAAGGCGAAGTCGTATTGTTGACTGTATAGAGATGTGACAGCAGTAAGGTGTTTCTCTTAGACAACCAGCATAGCACTGATTCTGCCTTCCAACAAAGGAAGGGTGTGGTTATAAAAGATCCACCCTAAAAATACACTTTTCGCCTTATCCCACGGATATCCGTCTCTGATGGTAAGGTCTCAACAAGTACGGAGCTAACACGAAAATTACTCACAACAAGGTTGTGTGTGACCGACCTCGCGCAGTTCTACCTTGAGCACTGCGGTCACGCGCCCAGATCACTAAGACCACCTCTAACCCAATTTGTTTTTCAGCTACCTCCAGAAGAACCCTTCCACTGTATGGGCAACCGGGAAGTGATAACCGACCTCATACCTTTTGTTAGGATAGTCGGAAAAATATACCAATAATTATCGTGTTAACTCTATGGTGTCCTTGAACCTTAAATGTACATTCCTTATTGGTCGATGTTTATTTCACTTGTTAAATATTTTGTAAATGTTGTTTCCTATTTTATGGTACGATGTGGTATGCTTGATTGGTATATAAACAAAGTATGTTTGAAATATAATGATTCATAACTCAGAGGCTGTGACTTGCGTTCTTGACTCAACTGGCTAGGACAGACTGCGAAGCGGGACCAATCAGGGCACTAGGTCGTCCATACGTGTTTTCCGTGTCCACTGTCACAGAGGCGATCGATAAATACGCTGCTTATCAAAACCTGCAAGTCCACACACGTTACAACACCTTTAATAGCACTTAAGACTACTGCGTTCATAATGAATTTCCCTCTTCAATCCTCATTATTCCTCCTATGTTGACTTTCAACTCGGTGCTTCGTCTTTTGACTTCCTCATCAAGTGTCACCATGGCTAACGCCTTTAGTGCACGAAATACTGTCCCACTTGTTCCTTCAGGATTGGCCTGCGTCAATACTTGGACCAAGGATAGGGAGTGAAGTAGTCGAACGCATCGAAAACTTCACTTATCTTGGGAGTCTGATCAGCCCTAATGGGTCGGTGTCTGACAAAATCTCTGCACGAATTCGAAAATCTCGTTTGGCTTTTGCCAACTTACGTCACTTATGGTAAAGGCTAGATAACTGTATATCAATTAAGGGACGAGTGTACTGCGCAGCAGTTCGTTCTGTTCTACTTCACGGCTGCGAAATGTGGTCATTAAGTGTAGAAATGTTTCTTATTACTACCGTCAAAGTAACTGCTTCTATAAATTTGGTGTCAATCTTTTTGTTCTAATGAGGTGTTGCAACTGGGACCGATGCATGTATGTGCCTGGTCCTACGTTGTAGCTGACTGACTTTTCTAACAGGTAAGCTTGTTGCACTCCATGTTTATTGACTACACAGTTTAAAATGTTAGTCATTGTATTTGTGATCGTTTGAAACTCCTTTGTCGTGTTCAAAAACAGTTTCAGAATAGATCAAACTTAGGAACTTTAAATCTTATGATGAAGAAACACCTTTCAGCTACTGAGTTTGGAATATGTAGTGCACGTTTTTCAGCTTCATTGATTTCACTGAATTAACATTGTAGCACGATAGCTTGGTGGTTTTAAGCTCATCATTTCAGTTGATTTTCTGTTTCCCGGTCCTGTATAGTTGGTGGTGGATGTGTGTGATGAGTGTTAAACTATTACGAAACATTGGTTCAGTGTTCTCAGGTTTTCAATAGTCATTCAGTTGATTATAGATTATGGTATAATCGACCACCAAATTATATAAAATGTTCATAAAACCTCTGTATAAATGATAACCATTGTATTCACTTGGAGTTTAAAGTCTTAGCAGGAAACCATCACATGATCTTATGCTTTCTGTTTCTTTCGGTGATATGCAACCACTTTTTGAACCTGAAAACTATAAACTTGCTATCTTTTTGATGACTGAAAATTAATTTCTATTGATGAAAATTCGCTTGAAGTGCTGCTTATCCAAAAATAGTATTTATGCTGTTTTAAATGAATTCTGTGATTTGAAGTTTTTTTCATAATTGAGTAGATACGTGAAAAGTGAGTCGCATTTCTTTTTATTTTCCACTTGAATATAGTGAAGGATTAAATACTCACCATGAAATGTGTGTACGAGTATACTTTAACGGTATTCGGCCTAATTGTAAACCTTCATTGATCATATTCTCATGACCATCTTTAAGTAGTGTGTATTTTTAAATATTACATAACTAATTATATATTTCTTTGGTTGGTATGACGCTGAATATATCATTTCTATTTACTTTATAAACTTTAGCCTCCGTCTTCCAGAATGGTTAAAGACTGAGATACCATGTGGTGGGAATGTGGCGCGTTTGCAAAAGCAGCTGCGTTCCCTCAATTTACATACCGTAAGTTGTTATACACTTTTTTTCCCAATATTTTCTTCGTATTTTCTGTTTTAATCGACCTTCATATGGTTTAGTTCACAAAATTTCAAGTCTCCATTCTATCGTTTACTATGAGTAAAACATAAATAATTCATTAGCATTTTCGAAGAAAATAATGGCTGGAAAATCCCAGTGATGTCTTTTTTTATCAACAACACTTAGTCTCGGTTCCTATATTCAGTTAACTTAAGTTTTTAACAGCATTTTTGTTTTGCTGGTAAATTGGTCTATTTTAAAGTATGCATGTTTACATTTTAGGAATAGATAATCAATTCATTCATCTGCTTAAGACAATTAACTGTTACTAAAATTTTGTAGCCTCTTTCGCTGTCCTTAGTAGCCTAAATTCCGAACCATAAATTTCCCAATATATTGAGTACTTTCAGTATTTATGCCATTCCCTGTAATGAATCATATGGGACATTACATATGATCCATCTCCTTCATTTTCCTTTCACATAAACTGATAGCGAAATCGACAACAGTTTGTTCACTGGTAATCAACAAAGGAATGTAATATTAAATGGTATTTTTAGACCATCCATACTCACGGACTACAAGTATTGTGGTATGTGCTACTGGTGTCGACAGATATAAGTAGTATGCATCATCAATCGAAAGTGAAATGTCTGGAGGCATAAGGTTAAGAAGATCAAAGAAAAGAGAACGAGAACGAAGAATGATTGGTGTGGAAACGAAAGAACAGTGAAGTCTGTGACGATTGACTGATATTCGCAAAAGGAACCGTAAAGTTTGAGATGATTGATTGACGTTTTGCAAATTAAGTATTTACTGTATGGTTCTCAGATTTTTCTAAGACGTTCTGTAATTTTGTGTTCAAATACATTCGATTGTCCCACTTGTGTTCTCGTTTACTACAGCATGAGTTATTTTGCGTTACCATTTATGCAATATATATACAAATTAAAATATTAAATTTCGCAACGTTTATATTGAGAAAAATTTAAGTATAGCCCTTTGAAGTTTTCATCAATTGATGTTCGTCTTCGATATTGTAAGAATCAAAGGGAGTTAGAGTCTTCATAGTTTCTTTGTTTATTACAGGTTTGTGAAGAAGCTCGATGTCCTAATATTAGTGAATGTTGGACTGGGGAAAGTCTACAGCCGCCACAGCTACAATTATGGTAAGTGTGTCTATGAAAGTGAAACGGCTTAGAAATAATGAAGTTTAATGTACTTAGATGACGAACAATAAATAACACATTTTCCGTTTTAACCGAAACTGCTTATTTTTGTTATACATTTATTCTAGTGAATACCTCTGTTCTCATTTTTACCAGAATTCATCATCTATCAACCTAAATAGCAGATATTAATTCAGTAGGCCCTTGATTTGCCAATTGTATCTCTTTTAAAGCGTTTATTATTTTCTGGTTAGGCTTGTTTTTCCTCGCTTTCCTGTCTCGTGGATACTGAGAACAATTCGGAAACGTGTTATCAAATGTAACAATCGCATAATATATCTCCGATTTCGCCATTTTGAGGGTAATTTATATCGGGTTCTGAAAATAAATTAAAATAACATGTCAGCAAGGAGAATAACATTATTGTTCTGCGTATTAACCAATTTATAGCCAAGATCATCATGTTATCTAATAGGGATATTGATAGCCAAAATCAGTCTAGTAGAATATTCGACTCAAAGATAAAAACTATTCTATTCATGAGTTTGTAGGTATCAATGCCAAGGTTAAACTTGATGTTTTCAAATAACTTGAGGATTGGGTAGATAGTTAATAATAAGTGTTTTTTCTTGTGATATCCGAATGAGTAGAAAATTGTGTTTTTGACCTTTCGTGACTGTGTGAGCTGCTTCACAGTAAATAAAAATGCTTATTTACTCTGAAGAAGTAGCTTACACAAAGTCGCGAAAGGTCAAAAACACAATTTTCTAATCATTGGAATATCACAAAAAATATATTTATTACTATTCTGCTTAGTTTGATAAAATATGTTAGGTGTTAACGTAAGAAATGTTTCATATCATTTACACACAATTGGATCAGGTAGTTGAAAGCTATTAATGCTCTTCTTTCACTGTTTATTAAATTTCGTGAAATGTAAATGCTAAGGATGTGAGACTATTTAACCAAAAGTCTACCAGAAATTCACAAATTTATTTATTCTCCGTCTATTTCTCTAAGTTATCTACTTATTTGTAAATCAAAGCGATTAGTGTAATGAGATAACAAAAACTGCCTCACTTGAAATATCATGGTATTTGTAAGGAATTGATAAAGAAATCATATAGTGCTAATAATAATAGTAATAATAGGAATCATTAAAGGTAATTGTTCAAGAAGGACAACAACTTAGATGCCTTTCACTAATTAAAAATTTATGAACTAATAACACAACAACAACAACAGCATCGTCACTCCGGCTTCGAGATATGTTCCATATAGTCTAGGAATGCTGAATATATTATTATTGGGAAGTAATCCGACTGTCATATGCTAAGACCAATACGCTCCACTTTTTGTTATTTCACAGACCGGCCACTCTGTTTCCACTCAGTCCAGTAATCAGCAAATAGCACTTGACATAGAACCTGCAGAGATCTGTAAAAAGCTAATCTGAGTGTTATTTGTGATTGGTGAATTCATATTTTTGAACATCAGAACTACACGGTGTCCTACTTATTCCTAGCAATTTTTTGGAGATCACGATGATAGGATATAGTTCGGTGACTCCAATTTTCACTAATGTAAACCACCGCGGGATTTGAGTCGACAACTGCATCTCTGTGCTAATGTGGTGTGGCAACTCGAACTGATGTACATATGTACGAAGTTCTACGTTGTTACTGACTGACTGAATGTAAATCAGAGCTGTGGAGTTGTATCTCCGATGTTTTACAATAAGGTCATTATTGCTAAATCTCTAAGTGTTCCCTAAATGGAAGTGGCCTTCGCTACATAGGTTAATTTGTCCGCAACATCAATATCTATACTACCCAGATTCCTGAGATTGTTAATCATTTTCATCCGCGTCTGCCAATGCCATGAAAGAGGCTCCCACTACTTTTGTGCAAAAATCATGGTATGATGACACGTTTGTCAGTTAAAGTAATGTATTTTATCACTGAATATAGACCGATTATAGGTGGGATTTTAACATGGAAAATAGCTACTTACAAATAATGATGATATTTCAGGTCATATTTATGAATTTTATACATACCACTTCGTGACACCGTGAATGCTTCAAGTTTTCTTGTTCATACTTATAAAAGCATTAAACCACTGGAATAATCTATGGAATTGTGCGCACATGTAGAGTGGTTTTCAAAAAGGGTGTAAATGACTACCTTGATGTAGAGCGTTTAACAATCTTTTGTGCAGAAATCCCATGAAATTCACATCAGAACTTCACGTATTCTAATTAGTAAACACGTCGCCAGCGTTGTCTTATGTTGATTATCAGAGACCTATTCAATCTAACAGCCATATAGTTACTGTAAACATGCACTTATATGATCTCGGTGGTTATTTAAAAGCAGGTGAATTATCTTACAGTCCGAGTAAGCTATCTCATCATTATATTTCTTTACAAAAATTGAGAAATAACTAAAAATGATTATTAATGAACTGAACGAATTAGATTAAAGTAGTACCGTGTGGTTAATTTTTAGAGAATGAGTCAATTTACTTGATACATTAAGCAGCAAGTAATATATTAAAACTGTATTTCGAACATATTAGGTTCATTTATTATTTAGGATGTCAATATTTTAACTATTCTTCTTTAGATAATGGGTGATACGTGTACTAGAGGTTGTCGGTTTTGTTCTGTTAAAACTTCATCAAATCCACCACCTCTTGATCCAGACGAACCAGTAAATACTGCAGAAGCCATAAGCAAATGGGATGTAGACTATATTGTCATAACATCAGTTGATCGTGATGACTTGGGAGATGGAGGGGCTCGACACATATCTAAAACAAGTAATATATATGTTAAATTCTTTGTTCGTTCTATTTTTTACCTAGTAATGCAAGTATTTTGTAAATCAAGACAGTATTCGCTGTTAGATATCAGTGACTTACTACAAAATCCATCTTAAAAACCAAAAAAAATTAGTTAGCGCTTCTAGTATATAATACAAAATATCCTTTCTTATTCTGACCTTGAACTTAAGGTAGTTACCAACTATTATAGTCACAACGTTTCATGACAGTGTATGCCACTGAAGGGCATACCAAAATAGTACATGAACTTATACAGGCTCCGTACTTGAACACTGCTGGTAGAGTCAGAGGTTATGACGAACTGATTACTTCAGGTGGTGTTTGTCAGGGTTTTCCGCTTTTCTCACTATTATCTAACTTTGTTACAGACATGCATTTAGAGATAATGCTCTCCCCTTCTGACTTTTCAGTATTTATTCTTCTACCAGAAGGCTCACCTATTGACTTAGAACTCGGAGATGAGATAGAGATTGTTCTGTTTGGCTATAAGACGCTTACAAAATGTAGAGGTATGTAACCGCTATAAGCAACAATGCAAACATGTTTTGGATGCGGTCCTCTCCCTCCAAATGTAAAATGTGACTTCAGAATTGGCTTGCGTCATCGCCTTAATCAGTAATAGACAGTGAAGTAATTGAGCGAATCGATCGCTTTATTTATATCGCGAGTCTCGTCAGTCCTGATAGGTTGACGTTTAACGAAACCTCACGTATTTAGAAGGTTCGATTGGTTTTTGCCAAAGTGTGTCACCTGTGACGCACGCGAGATCTCCGTTCGGCAAGGAAAGAATGAGTCTACTGCGCATCAGTTCGCTTCGTTCTAATCTATGGGTGTGAGGTTAGACAAAGACTTCTAAGAACAAATCGAAAATTTTTTGATGAGGTAGGGATTCTTTTGAGGTAGCTGAGACATGTGTTACGTTTGTCCAACCACCGACTATGTCGATGCTAGGTGGTGTAGATGTAGGCTGAAAGGAAACTAGAGGTGACCAAACCAAGTCGTGACATCAGTCCATAAAGTCACTGACAACTGGACTGAGCTATATTAACGGATGTAGATTACCTGGTTGGGGTCCCCTTGATTATCATAATCAATGGTTAAAGACTTTGGGTGATATGGCTCAGGTCGTCTCCCAGATTATAAGTTTTTAAATTGCTCACCATTTTTCCCTAATTTATACTTTATTTCCGAGTGGTATCTCGGATGACTAATCTTTCCTACTACCACAAATAACGTTACTAATTTTGGGACGGCTTCGAGAAGCAAGATGAAGCCTCCAAAGGCTAAAAACGAGCCAAAGAGTTTCTATCCAATAAGAACCTGATAGTCAGTCAGCTACAACGTAGGACCAGGCACATACATGCATCGGTCCCAGTTGCAACACCTCATTAGAACAAAAGATTGACACCAAATTTATAGAAGCAGTTACTTTGACGGTAGTAATAAGAAACATTTCTACACTTAATGACCACGTTTCGCAGCCGTAAAGTAGAACAGAACGAACTGCTGCGCAGTACACTCGTCCCTTAATTGATATACAGTTATCTAGCCTTTACCATAAGTGACGTAAGTTGGCAAAAGCCAAACGAGATTTTCGAATTCGTGCAGAGATTTTGTCAGACACCGACCCATTAGGGCTGATCAGACTCCCAAGATAAGTGAAGTTTTCGATGCGTTCGACTACTTCACTCCCTATCCTTGGTCCAAGTATTGACGCAGGCCAGTCCTGGAGCAACAACTTGCATTTAGAGGAGGAGAAACGCATTGCAAACGTCCTGACATTGTTGCTCAATGCTACCAAAACACTGCATTTCATCTGCGACTTCGCCAAACAGGATTATATTATCTGCGTATTCTAAGTCGATAAATGGAAGGAGATCATCGCCCGGAGATTCAGTCGACGAGAACGTTATTTCTATCAGTAGGTCTGTGATGAAATAGTGAACAGCCTTGACGGACACCATTTGAGGTTGCGAAATCAGATGATGGTTTTCTGTATGCTCTGGTTTGACTGGTAGTGTTCAAGTAAAGAGCCTTCACAAAGTCTATGTACTTCTGATTGATGCCTTTCACTGCCACAGAACTTTTCGGTTTACAGACTGGAATGCTGCTTTTAAGTCAAGTAACATTATCAATGTCGGACGCCAATACACATACTTATGTTCTGAAACCTGATGAATGGTGAATATGTCGTTGAAGCCAGTCTGATTTTCTCGTGTTTGCAGTTCATGGGTCTCTTTAAACGTGATAATTATTGAGGCTAGTATTTTAGATGCTATATTAGTCAAACTAATTCCTCTATGGTTATCACAGGATGATTTAGACCCTTTCTTATATATTGGGACAATCAGTGATTGTGACCAGTCAGATGGGATTACGTCCAACTCCTAGATTTTAGTTAATGTATTAGTCAACGTAATCGCTGAAATTGGACTACAATACATAAAGACCTCTGGAGCCACTCTATCTGGACCATCCACTCTTCCTCATTTCAGATTAACTATGGCCTTTTGAAATTCAGATAGAGTCGGGAGATCTACTTCAATGTTCCATTTAGGCTGTCTGGAATGGTGGGTAGTTGTCAAGTAACTGAAGGCCGGCTGAACTGTTCCTTAAAGTTTTCCGCCCATCGTTTTAAATGTCTGACCTGAGAGCAGATAAAAGCGTCGTCTTTTTTCGAGATAGAGCTTTCTAGGATATCAACGTGGCATGCTCCTATTGGACTATAGCATATCTTGTCTCCTTGCGGATTGGATGAATTACAATGTTGTTATAGCCAACGCCAAGCTGAAAATTCAATCGTATGCAAAGTCTGCTTATTTGTATAGGATTGTATGTAGGCAATTACTATAAGCGTAAGCCCTAAATATGATCAAGTATTGATATTTCACTTCCAGCTTACTGTAGGTGTTTTAGCTGAGTTGTAACACTACTAAAATACGTTCCACTCTTTCCCCCATACGCACAAGTTACGAATAAAAGTTTTGCAATTATTTTATTTCCTAGTTCGCCAAATAAAAGCACGTAAACCATCAATTATAGTTGAGTGCTTAGTACCAGACTTTCAAGGGTGTACAGACTCTATTCATACAGTTGTTCGTGCTAGTCCCGAAGTATATGCGCATAATATTGAAACTGTGGAGTCACTACAACGGTGAGTGTCTTTAATCAAAAATATGATTATTCGCATACACCAGCTATATATATATATATATATATATATATATTGTTTACTGTTAACCAGTCTTCCAGTTCTGGACTATTAGTTATTTAATTAATGAATTGTAATGACAGGATTATTACTCAAAGCAGTTAAGTGTAATACTATCTTTTTTGAAACTAAAATGCCTTCCAAAATATATCGCATAACACTATAGAATTAAATTTTTGAAGATCGAAGAAATGTGTAACTTTAATAACCTAATCGATAATCCAGTATAAGGCGTTTTTTAGTTAAACTGCTAGTGTAATTGATATTTTAGCACTAAACTTAAATAGGAAGAATAATCAATTAAACGTTAACTGTTTGTATGGTGTATTCAGCTTTCTTTATGATTATTTAGTGTAATATAATTATATTCCCAGAGCTTTTAAATTCTTTTAGTGTTGTGAGGGATCACCGAGCTGGTTATACTCAGTCACTTCGAAACCTAGAGACTGCAAAAGAACGTAGTAACAGGCTTGTATCATCCGGAAATTCCGATTTTCTTGTCGTCACAAAATCCAGTATTATGTTGGGTCTTGGCGAGACAGAAAAAGAAGTAATGATAGCTCTTAAAGACTTACGTCAGGCTGGAGTCGACTGTGTAACAATTGGGCAATATGTACAACCAACTAAGCGTCATCTAAAAGTCAGTTTTTGTCAGTTTTTGATTCATTCTAATTTTACTAAAATAAATAGTTTTTTCGACTTATGAATAATTAACACCAGAACAGAATTCATGACACTACAATTCCGTTAGGTTTATTTCTACAACTAATAGACTGGTCTATTAAAAACGTTCTTTTCCTGATTTCAGATATAGAGAATAGCACTCGTACTGTAATAATAAACTACTGCGTTATAGGAACTATGATAACTCCATTGATAACTCATACAACAGAAGTGATTCATCTCAACCCTTGATGAACTAAATCAAAAATTGTGTGAATCACTCGGATACAATATAGTAAATTAGTGTAACATTGTACCTAGTCGAGTTTTCTATGAGTGAATAATTTTTCAAATGATCCACTTTTTAAAAATTAAGTGGGATGTTGGATCTGTGCAATTTAGGAAGGCAGTACACAATAAGCAGTTTGTAATCCTTTTCCTTTCAGATTGTTATGAGTTGAGTTACCAAGGAGTTTCTCTTTCCAAAATTCCTTAAGAAGTTTATTGACTCTGTTTACGATTGTTGCTTCATTCGAGCTACAATGGGACGCATCTAAACCTTTTGAAAAAACATTATTGAAATATTACATTAAGAATTCCTCGAACCTCTGGAAAAATATATTCATAATTTATCTATCATAAAACTAAACGAAAGTGGGAGTTTTAATTGAGATGATTAATCGACCAATGTCAGACCACCATAACTAAACTGATTATCATCACGTGCTCACTAGTGACTAGCTTCCCGAGGTAGTTCTCGGAAATAGTGGATAAGATTTGTAGCTCAGGTGGCTGACGTTGATGGGGCTTTGTTCTCTGAGCTGGATGGTCTTATTGTTGAGCTTTCATCGTTCTTCTGAACGACATCATCGGCACAAACAGAACTCCATCAGACTAATTCTCGGAGTTTTAGTGTGAAACCGTGACCAGTGTGAAGCAGTCACCCACCGAGTACAATGGGAAATGGTCGCGCAATATTGTGGATTGATTAAAGTTAGACATTAATACCGATTCATGGTTTTAAATATTAGTCTAACATTGGTCGTTTCACGATCTCCGTTAAAATTTAACAATCACCACAACCTTATACTAATAAAACTGGAATTGTAGCTCTCCCTCCGAAAGATTAATAGGATCTGATAAAGTTCCCGGCCTTATAATAATTTTATTTATTTATTTGAGCACATAAGTATTGGTACAAAGGAGCACCAGATACATATACGCCAAACAAATCACTTGATTTATGCGTGGGCGGTGATACTGCCTGTGTGCTCAGACCAAATGAGGTGGTTTACTTAGAGGAGGCACACCCGGAGCCTTTGACCAAAAGATCTGATCCACAAGGCAGTGGAGCGACGTCAGAAGACGCAGTCCCATGTTAACCGGTGACCAACAATTGGTTTATATGCCATTTGTTCCTTCAGGATACTGGAGCCCATGTACACCATTGGTTTGGAATCAGGGTTTTCCAACTCCCCTAGGTGGATCCTCCATATCCACCGACCCTGTTAAAACGCCGGACATTCGCTTTTCCTCCTCTCAAGTTTCTAAGCAACAGCCTCGCCGCGAGAAGGCAGTGAGTAGGACTTCCCTGACAGAGGCTATATGCGCGTGGTCATGTGAGAGCATTTGGAGAGGGACAGCTGACTCTCCTCACTCTCGACCGTACCGGGGCATTTAAGGGCGCTGTTGTAATAATATATTGAAAGGATCTTATGTGTAAAATGTTACGAATAATCAACGATATACCAAAATTCCAGGTTGACAAATCTAAGAAAGATTCCATTTGTAACAATCAGAACATACTCAATAAATATCATAAGGAATTTTCGAAAGACAATGACATTTGCAACTCAACTCACAACAATCTGAGGGTAAAAGGATCACAGACTGCCTTTTGTGCATCGTTTTCCTAATGTACACAAATCCAAAATCCCATTCGGATCTATAATGTCTGGTAAACTTATTATGTCGTAAGTTCACTTAATAGTTGTTTGGATTAGTAGGACCAATTCATGGGAAAATGGCGCCCCATAGTTTAAAAGATGTGTTTCATTATTCCGAAAAAATGAATCATTCAAATATATCAGATAAATAGGTAATTTTTTAATTAATGCTGCGTGAACATATTAATAGTTAAACAGTACCTTTATATTGTTGGCTGTTGTAGTATAGTGACTCACGTGCAATTGAGTTTATTCTCATTTAACTCAGTTAAGCCCTTTTGCTAACTTATTTAGCGGACAAAGTCATTCGCACTATAACAACTTATTGTACCCTTATTATTTTGTGCTTGTATGAAATACGTATGCTTGAATATTGATTACGGCCTACGCATTTATTCACACTGCTAGTCTTACTACTAACTGCTTATTTGATTCGATTACTCATTCATTTCACATGGTACTCATATTCAACACACACGTACTCTCGTCTCACTCCTTCTCTGGCTCTCGATCGCTTGCTCGCCTTTCGGCACAACTCTTCTATGCTTGTTTAACGCATCTGTACATTTGGATATATATGTGTGGTCTCGCAATAAACGTAATCAACATTTCGTATTTGCCTTCTGATTAATATACCGTTGGGACGTTATATAGAACGGTTATCAAGACGAGCTGTATACGAAGTTTAAGGATTGTATCGAATACCGACCACCACAGTAGTTATTAAGCTTGACTGTTTTCGTAAGTCATAAAATCTTGATATAGAAAGCTATTACTTATAAACTCCCTTTGATTATATTATAGTTAAGGCTCCTAGCCAACTCTTCTTTTTTTAAAAATATATTTTCTCTGTTAGATAAATTAGGTGACAACACTACGTGTTAAGTGATAAAATCGTTGAAACTGGTTTTTCTGGCGATGAAAATAATGGACAAATTATTATTCTCACCTAATGATTGTTTGAATGTAGTGGTTAAGTACTCCTCAACTAACTGTAGGGTTACGTTTTAGTAAGGGTATTTCTATCACGAATTTCCAAATTTGGGTCCCACTGAAGCAAAAGAGAAACCTGATCCATTCTCTCTGTATCAAAGTTAGATGTACCTGTATTGGGGATACAATCGATATCGAAATTGATAAACTACGGTAGATACTGGTTAGCAATGGATACCCACCTAGATTCATTGAGAAAGATTTAAAGGCGGAACAACAACGCGAAAGTTTCTACAGCACCAGAGAAAAGACTTCATGAACATTTGTTTCAAAGATACTGCAGCAGAAAAATTTTGACAGGTTTTAGAGATCTCTGAAACGAAATCTCCTTGCTTTCCTTCTTCAGTGACACAATGGATCTTTACTTCTCACTCCATACTACCGCCATTTCTCTATCATCAGTAATTATTCAGGTATATAAACTGAATACGTCAAAGATTAAATTTGGCTCGGTATTAAATGTTTCTGCGTAAATGGAGATATATATTGCAGTCTGTTGCAAACGACGTAGGATCATGTGTAAATATGGATCGGCCTAATATTATGGTTCGAAATAATGAGGAAAGTTGGTCAGTAAATAGCGTAAAATAATATTAAAACTGAAAATCTAAAAGACTGATCTTAAATCATCACTTTTGAGTTGCTACAAGCCTGTTTTGAGCCGTAAACAACGATTATCACCACAATCTGGTATTTTCCCACATTACCTGAGGTGAGAGAATGAAAATAGTTTGATTTTCGTAGATATAGAGACGATGCACTGGGCAATCTTGAATGGATCATATGCTGTTAGTTGACAGACGCCTGTGTACTAGGTAATATAAATGCACTCGTCACCTAGTCAAAATCATGTTGGGGATGCGAGATCTCGAGAAATCATTTGGTAAGCATTTTATTTTTGTGATTTCATTTTGGAAATCTGAATTTCTTGTTTTCGCTCCAAAAGCACCCATTTTTACCTTCAGATTGTATTTCCCACTTGAAAGGACTCTAAATATCATTGATTGACTGCCTCTTTTAATATACTATTTTGTGACGTTTTCCAAGGACATTTTTATGCTGTATATATACACTTGAGTTGTGTGCTTGTTATTGCCCGTGCTTCTGGCTGCTTGTGGAATACACTTTCCCTTATCTGAATATGGACTTCTCCCTCTAGTTGGTGCGACTGTGACGCACTGGAATAGCTTAGCTGTCTTGTTGTTGTGTCACTGATCCTTCGTTCCGTTCGCTGATTTAGGGTGATCTCGTAATCTCTTCAAACATAGCAATTTGGCGACGAGGATGGTGCAAGCATAAATCTTTTAAAAGTGGAATTATTCTTGAAACAGCAACTGATCCAAATGTTAGCAGAAACGAAAAACTGCTCCTGCCGCACAACCGAGCTCATCCAATTCTACAACTGCACCGTCAGTTGATGGCATCGCAGTACAGATGCCAATGTTAATTTTCATATGTGTACAGCGCTAGGAGGAATTATTTAAATTTGATTTTGCTAATCAAGATGGGACTTGGAAGGTTCGGTTGCTTCTTTGGAAGCCGGGCACAAGTGAGTTCGATAAGTACTGTAATTCGCTATCGCCTCTGAACCCACGTGACAGCCCATTCTCGGACACCGTCTTCAGTGAGCCAAATGTCTGGACATAACTCCTCATTGTTCAACACACGTTATCGATGTTTGAAGCTCGTTATGAACAAAGACGCTGATTTCCTTACGTATGAGGGCATCGTCAATCGCGAACACTTCCAGCTGAAGTCACTGACTGAAGATCAGTCCAAAGCCCTCATCCTCATCTGTAGTCTCCAATCAAAAACGTTCACTGACATTAGAACACGGTTACCGCGCCGATTGGACCAAGATCCCAAACTCACCCTTTCGGATATTGCAAATGAATATCAACATTTAGTTAATCTGCAACGCGACATTACAATGGTCCAGTGTGGTGGTTCCGATCTTTCCGAAGTTCACATAGTCCGACAACGATTCAACACACAAATGTGCCTGACAGACATTGCGTATTTTCCGAATAACTTATAAAATTACATTTTACATAAATCATACTTTAACGTTTAAAAGATTTCTGAAACGAAATAAATCTTTAGTAATTAGATTCTCCATGTTCAATTCTGTTGACTATCAATCTATAATAGGCTAGTTCATAATTCCTTCAGATAACAACTTCTTTCCAGATTGTTCAATAATTTAGATGATGACTTGTAGTAACAGTTTTTGTAATGTAAAACTTTTTACGCGTTTCTGTTATTTTTATATAGTAACAATAAATAATACAGTTGGAATTGTTTTTAAATTATTTTTATTTCAAGGTTAAAGAATATATTCATCCAGATAAATTTGATTATTGGGCGAAAATTGGCAAAGATTTGGGTTTTTTATATACAGCTAGTGGACCATTAGTTCGATCATCATATCGAGCAGGTGAATATTATATAAAACACATTATAGATCAACGTAAACAAAAAAACGTATGATACGAGATTGAACAACTGAGCACACAAATACAGTTCATGTGATGGGAATTTTGAAAAAAGTAAACTTTAGAGTTATTATTGAAAGAGGATGTATAGAAGTAAAGTGTATATTAGTGAATCAGGCTGACTTTTTAATCAAATTACTTTTTTCAAACGTTCATTTTACAAGACCCCTCTAGTTATATATATATATATATATATATATATATATATATATATATATATATACAACTGAATATCCAGTTGAAGTAATTACAATAGATTTCCTTACGAAACAAGAAATTTTATTCTCTAACTTTGAATGGTAAGAATACTTTTCACCCTCCATTATTGAGTGTATTACAGTGTAAGTTTGTTTAACTTTGACAAAAATAGCAATATTTTGTCATTTCTATAATAGTGTGAAATTAATGCTAGAATTCAACATTAAGAGATAAAAACGGAACATAAATCCATGCATCGGCAACAATAATCAGTTCACACTAGATAAAAGAGAAAAACGTAATGATAACACGTAAACTAAGCCTATTGTTATAAATTTCGGGTCTTCACACACTTGATATGTCACATAAATTCCAATTAGCACAAAAAATTAGCGATCACAAGATGTCTATGACTCATGTGATTCAACCAAGTCATAATCTACCACTCTCAATGCATACACATTTAAGATATTCTTGATACAAAACTGACTAATGCGTTTCTAGTTAATTTTTGTACGATAGAGTACATATATAAAAAACCACATAGACGTCGGATACAATCTCATTACAAAAGAAAACAAAATAAATAACGCATACTTCCTCATTTTTTCCTTATATGCGTGGACAATAATAAGGTATGCATATGAAGTTATAAAAACCATGTGGACTCAATGGGTAAAAGGTAATCCTGATTAACTGTCCTATGAGAATTCAAAGGTGTATATTTTGTGACTAACTCACGGAAAATTAATTATGCTATTCTTCAGCACACATCACGTTAAAGAACATTCAACACAAATAGGTGGGCTTGCATCTAAGGACACTAATTCACTTTGAACACATATTTTACAGAACAATTTAGGAAAAAGCTGGAAAGAAACACTTGTTAGATTTCTCACCGAGGTAGTTGTAAATTAATAAAAATGGAAAAAGTGACCTAAAAGAGCAGTTTGTTCTAATTTGGTTAGGTTATAGAATGAAAACAGTTTGGTTACGAAAAAGTCAGGTTTATCAAATGCGACAGAAGTCAAGAAGCTTGTTTTTAAAACATCTGGCATCAGATCTACTTTATAAATGTGTGGTGTTACGTATTTTGAACAGTTTCCAATCATATATCAGCACCGGACCCTTGTAAGTAAAATCGAATCTGAACTCATTTATTGGTAAAATTAGGAATGCAACTGTTCGTTTTAAGCGGATTAATTTAAATAGTTTAGTTTTTTGCATACTCTAGCTTAATACTACACATCTTTAGGGTGCCACTTGAGTCTCGTAGAATGCAATTCTAAAACAGTAAGCTACGAATATCAATTGTTATCTGTCTTGTGTATTGAAATTTATCACGTCAATCTTTTTAAAGACATCCCCAAATATTAGATTGGTCACACTTTCGAAGTATGTCTGAATCTAATATTTTATTGATTGAAACAATACTAAAGGTGAAGTAATTCACCAGTTTCCAGCAAAGTTAAGTTACTAACACTGAATACAATGCACACCAACAACTCTCAACCAGAAATGACCATACAAGTGAATATTTCTTGAAATTAAGTAAAAACCAAGGCAATTTTCACGAATCAATTGACACCACATCTACCAGCTTTAATTGGTATACAGGTGTTTAATAAGTACTTTTGTGCATCTTCATTCATTCAGAGTGTTTGGTAATAGATTAAGTTTCGCAGAAATTGATATGAATAGCTTGAGCGTTTGAACATATTAACATTAAAAGCAACCAGCAATCCTTCCATTAGACCTTGATTTCTTCAATACACCAACAACGAGAAAAGAATCCCAAGTAGGAAGAAGAATGTTTAATCAGTGAGGTGTTTCCCTCGGACAACCAGCATCTACAGCGATGCTGCCTTCTCACAAGGAAGGACGGGTTAGAAAAGGTCGATCTTTAAAATGTCACACCTCACCTTATCTCATGGATTTCCGTCTCCGGAGGTAAGGCCCTTTGAAGGACGGAGCTAACACGTCAAAAACCTCCCACAAAAAGGCCGTGCGCGACCGGCCTCAAGCAGTTGTCCCTTAGGCTCTGCGGTCACGCTCCCAGGTCGTTAACGCCGACATTAATCCGAATTCCTTTTCAGGTTCTGGATCTGAACATAACGAAGAGCGGAGTCAGCTTAAGCGCAAGTTGACAAGAAGCCTATGCAATGATCGCGAACAGTGGTGGGTAGCGAAAGCAAGAGAGATGGAAAAGGCAGCGGCAATAGGTAATAGCAGACAATTGTTCAGACTTGTTAAGGAAACCGGTATTAGGAACCCGACTGTTAGCGAAACAATGTCAGAGAAAGATGGACATATTATACATTCTCAATCCAGGAGATTGGATCGATGGGCAGAACACTTTAGGGATCAGTTCAACTGGCCTTCAGCCACACTTCGGTTTCCCACGATCTCCAGTCAACCTGAATGGTATTTCTCGACCTTAAGGCGGTATTCGACTCTGTTGATCGTGAGGTTCTGTGGCAATGTTTGTCACTGAAAGGAGTACCAGAGAAGTACATTAACCTTGTAAAGGCTTTCTACTCGAACACAACTGGTCGAGTGAAAGCTTATGGCGAACTGTCATCAGAATTGATTACCTCAAGTGGTGTTCGTCAGGGCTGTCCACTCTCTCCATTCTTGTTTAACTTTGTCGTTGACGTACTTCTAGAGATAACACTCTCCTCGTCTAAATTTCCAGGGGTTGAACTTCTACCGGGAGGTTCACTTGTTGACTTGGAATATGCCGATGACATAGTTTTATTTGGTGAAGACGCCGACAAAATGCAGTCTTCTGACCACTCTAAGCAACAATGCAAGCATGTTCGGGATGCGATTCTCGCCCTCGAAATGTAAAATGTTGCTTTAGGATTGGGTTGCATCGACACCCAAACTAATGATAGGGAGTGAAGTAGTTGAGCGTGTCGACCGCTTCACTTATCTTGGAAGTCTGATCAGCCCTTGTGGTTTGGTGTGTGACGAAGTCTCAGCACGGATACAGAAGGCTCGACTAGCTTTTGCCAACTTGTGTCATTTATGGCGTAGGCGAGACATCCGTCTATCAACCAAAGGACGTGTTTACTGTGCAGCAGTTCGTTCCGTCCTACTTTATGGCAGTGAAACATGGCCGGTAAGAGTAGAAGATATTCGTAGGTTACAAGTATTTGATCATAGGTGTCTTCGAAACATTGCTCATATATCCTGGGACCATCGAGTAAGTAACGCAGTTGTTAGGAAACGGGTACTAGGTAAGGATGGCAAATCCATTGATGAAGTAGTGAAACTTCATCAGTTGAGATGGCTGGGACACGTGTTACGTATGCCCAACCACCGACTGCCTCGACGTGCTATGTTCAGTGGTATAGGAGTAAGTTGGAAGAAAGCTAGGGGCGCCCAGACCAAAACATGGCACAAGTCCATGAATTCATTGACAAGTGGACTGAGTCATGTTGGTAGGTGTAGACTACTTGGTTGGGGATCGCGAGATGATAGCAACCGATGGTTAGAGACCCTGAATGACATGGCTCAAAATCGTTTGCAATCGCGCAGATGCATACATTCTTTGTGTTCTCCCGAATTCTAATCTCCTGATTCCTCATTGTCTCTTTTTTTTTCTCTTCCCAAATTCATTTCACTGTATTATACTCTTTAAATAACATCTCCAAACCCTAATCTTCCCGATTACTGCTTATACCCTTACTACCTCTACCACTACGGGATTTGAATCGACAACTGCATCTCTGTGCTAATGTGGTATGGCAACTCGAACTGATGTACGTACGTACGAAGTTCTACGTTGTTACTGAATGACTGTTTGATCATCACTAAAAAAAGAGGCTAAAAGTTTGAATTTTTAACAGCACTGGATGTATTAGGTCTTCTGCGACGTCCAATGAAATAATAGGAGAGCTGACCAGCGAATATCCACTATAATTGTTAGATAATAAACTTAGAGATCGTCCTCAAATATAGAATAAAAGGAATCATAGGATAGAAACGTATATTCAGTTTACCATTAAATTTTTTATGAAGTGAAAAATCAACCTCAAAACTATCACGCTTATGTATTTGTTCTGTACAATTAATACATAAATATAATGATTCTAATATCGCTGTGTAATCTCAATAATAATTATTCATCATAATCTTTTACTTGTCTATAGCATATACGGATATATTGCAACTCTTGATAATATATAGTCAGTAGCCCTTTCACTCCAAGATACGTCAAACCACCCTAGTAAATAAAATTAAATAAATAAGTCAATTAAATTGTTTAATCGAATCTGCATGATGAACCAATGAGTTTCTGAATGATAACTGAGACAGTTAGGATAGCTTCTAAATTACTACTGATATTGGATACAATTAACCATCTAGAATTAATATTGCATTGTTTAATTGACACAACAACCAAGATGCACAAACTTATTATTTCAAACGAGTGGCATCTGAATCTAAGTGAAAGTACAAACTTGTACTACGTTCAGAAACGTACTATACAATTTGATGCTGAAAAGTACAGCAGTTGATCAAATGAATTTCGAATAACCTGTTTTCCACTCCATAGCAGAATAATGACTTTATTATAATTTGACTTGGAAATATCTTCTTTTAAATAACAACACAAACTCTCTGGATCCTTTTAATGACATCGCAGTTTAAAAAATCGCTACAATCGTCACTATATCTATATACATATATATAAACCAATCTAATCAAACACGTGGAGAGAAATTATCTTACCAGGAGAACTCTGTGTGTAGCAGACTGCACTCGTTTAAATAATAAGTGTCCCAGAAC